CCGTGAATTGGATTCAAGACTAAGGACTGACTGTATCGGAAAGTAATTCCGGACTTTAAAAAAACTAAAATAATGGCGAAAACTTTGTGAATATTCACAGATTTTTAACCTCATTTTAGCTTAATCCAATAATAATCCAATAGAAAAATACAACATACAAAAAAACATACAGTTGATTTCCGCAGAATAATGGAACTATATAATAAACTACTTCCGGAAAATTCTGTGCACAGTGCTTAAAGGACTTTGTATTATACTAGACACCAATGACTAATTACAGATAAACTAAGGCATAAGGGTGGTTCATAATAACGAGGATTTTGCTCCACCAAGCTCGATCCGTTCTAAATCCGGCCCAGATCATTCTTAAAAAATTTGCACCCTTTGATGTTTTTATGTGAATTATTATGGGAAAAATGAACTTTTCGTTCTCAATGTCCTAGCCCATTGCTATATTGATTGCGGAAAAGCTTGCTATCTACTATTCACGTACATTTCTCGTGAATGATAACACACCCACGCAAACCAACAATGCCACTCAATAAGGGAAGTTTGCTCTATGAGACGCTGGTGTTAGGTTGCTTGCATGTGTTTGGATTCTCGAGAAATTTGCGATTAAAGCCATTGTTTACGTTTAGTTTACGTTTACGTTTTACGTTATTTCCCATAGAAATTCCCTTATTTACATAGAGTGTTTTCGGCTCTGACAGTCTCAAGGACAGCAAAAAACGAGATTGTGTATTTATCCGTCAGTTTCGGCAACTTTGCCAGAGTTCAAGCGATAGATACAATGGCGCTGCGCTTGAGTGAAGGTGGAAGCAACGCATAAAAAAAATAACAAATACGCAAACCCTTCTTCTGAGGATGTAATCTTTGCTATCAAATGTGTTTGAAGCATTTACCTTTGAGCGGCAGATGACGCGATTGTACCTGTCTCATAGCGTTCGTAAGAGAAAATGGAAGAGTTGCCAGTCTTCTTGATTTGTTGTCTTCGATTTTAGATAAGTGTAAGGTTGTAGGTTAGAAATTTTCTCACAGCTTCAAATTTAATTCGCGGTATGTTGATGTCAGCTTATAAAATGCAGTGGACTAAAGCGTACTTAAGTTGTTGACACTTAAACAAACTAGATATTGCTACAAAAATACACAATAACTGTCAAGAAACAACGTATGAAATGTTCTAAGCTACTTTTCGATACACTCTTTAACATAAATAATCTGTATATTTTTTTTTTTCTGTTGGACTGTAATCATAACAATATAAACTTCAAATCAAACTAAACATTTGTGAATTTTAAATTGTTTTTGCCTTTATTTTATTTTTTTAGTATTTAATGTTATTTATTGATACAGCCCTTAAGAGAGGGGAACAAATTATTGATTAAAATGTCTCGAAATTTAAAGTTTCTTTGGAATTATACTCAAAATTATTTTCACAAAATGCTACATTTTTTTTAAATATTTCGTTGAAATTTTACTACACTACAGTTTGTTTTTCGTAATTTGGAGAAATGTTTGTCAAAACTCTTTTAAAATTCTCCATGAACTTCTTCTCAGAAGTTCTAAGTTAGATCTACGATGGAATTATACTCATAACTAAAGCCATGATTCCATAGGAATTGTCCTGAGTATTCCCTAAGTTAACTCCCCTTGTAATGCTACAATTTGAAATGGAATTCAAATTCCTTAGAATTCCTTCGAAACTGTCTTCAGATTCAGATACCGTAAGTGAGGATGACTTTGGGTCAAAAAATCAAAATTTTTCGTTCCCTACCTAACAACATTCACATGTTAGCAAGGACATCAATTTTAAGCATGTGTATATATGTGTATTTACGATTGTCATGGAAAAAGTTTATCGAAATTTATATCTCATTTTACTAAAATTGAATAAAAAATATACCAAATCAGGGGGGGCGGGGCATTTGGTTAAAATATCTTATAATATGTTAATGTAACGTAGTTGTAGGAGTACGCTTGGTTATGATAACATTGTACTTCATATGTATGGTTCACCTGTAACTCTCGTCTATCCACATATCAATTCTTTCAAACTTTTGTTTGCCTGAGGACATATTTAAAAATGTGTTTTTGCTACTATTTTCTCACTTAACTTTACAGTGCTATAGGGTGTCCTAGAATGTTTAAGAACAATTTAAAAAACGATAACGTAGCTCTTTTTACAGCAAATTGGATTTTTATTTCGTATTCATGTTCTCTATAGTATTCTCATACAGTAGAAAATCTGAGATCCAATCAACCGTAAGCAAAGGAGCGGATTTTTGATCTCGCGCTACTCATTAACTTCAGCACAGATGTCTTTCCAACAATTTTGGATACTTTTCCCAGCCTTTCGCAAACTTTGTAACGGAATCCGCTGCCTTTACATGTTTCCGCAAATATGCTTTGGTCAGGGCCTAAAAAGTTTCGATTGGCCTGGCCTGGAGACAGTTTGGCGAATTCATCTCATTGCGTACGAATTGGACCTTGTTGGCTTTATACCAGGCTACCGTGTCCTTGGAGTAATGAATCGACGCCATATCTTGCCAAAACAGTACTGAGACGTCGTGTTTGCGGATCATGGGTAACAGACGCTTGCTTGAACACTCACGCACGTAAACATCGGTTGTCATTGTATCCGTTGTCACAAACGGTTTCCCCAGCAACACACATGTTTTAAAACAGTTTACATAGCCTATATGAATGGGTTTGGTTGTAAAGCAGTTTACTCAACATAATTCTATTAATTTGTGTTACTTGGGTTGGAAAGCATCCCACACTCACAATTGGTTTGCCAAACCATAACCTTTATACCGATTTTTTTCGGGAAAAAATCGACTTATCCACGTCGTCAACACTTTGACCATCACAAACGGTGTAGTACTGATCACCAGGAAGAGTTTTGTGATCAAACTTAACGTATGATTCATCGTCCATAATCACGCACACCGATTTTCCGCGTTTGTGCATCAGGGGTTGGAAAACTAATACAACATGCATAAGCATGCTATCAATTGACGTTTGAGTGGTTTTATGAGTTTAAAGCAGGAATCATGTAAAAAATAAACAGAATTTATGTTTAGACCTTTTATTTATAAATTGTACTGAGGACTTCTGTGTGGGTATTCCATTTTTATTAATAATATTTCCTCCCCCAGTGACTGGGAATACGAAGAAGTACTGGATGCAAATTATGAAGCAGTAAAAAGTAGACTAAGTACAATTAATTGACAACATGTAATAAGTATTGAAGGAAATGTAAACACTGAAGTTGACAAATTTCATGCAATTATGAAAAACTTAATTTCTGAAACTGTACCAGCAAAAAGAAGAAGAAGGACTCATAGCATTAAATTACCAGTGTGGTTCAACCCGCAACTGAAACATTTTAAGAACAGAAACAGAAATCGCATAAATTATACAAAAAGGAAAAAAAAACATCTTAGAATTTGCAAAACTATCACAACATATGCAATAAATTCAACACAGCCATTTCCTCAGCACATAAAGAATACAACCGTAAAGTCGAAACTGAAGTCAAATGATGTCCAAAGAAGTTTTTCCATTACGTGAACACGAAATTAAAAAGTAGCATCTTTCCGTCGGGAGTGACCCCGGCGTAGTGGTTAGAATCCATACCTCTCACGCTAAAGTCACGAGTTCAAATCTCACTCCCAGACAAATCACGACTGACCCAAGAGCGATAAAGAGACTATTATAAAAAAGAAAAAAAAACAAATCTTTCCGTCACGAATGCACTTCGACAGACGTTTAGGAAATAACTCTTTAGAAATCTTCAATCTCCGAAGAGGACCGCGACCGCGAACTTTGCATTTGAGTTTTCAAATGACATATCTGTCAACCAACTATCTCAACAAGAAATCCTTAAAAGCACTGAAAAACTTGAACGCATCTAAAGGACCAGGACCTGATGGGATAGCACATGTATTCCTGAAGAATCTCTCAGAAGAACTCTGCCTTCATTTAGAATGCCTTTTTAACATGTCTTTACAAAATTAAATATTTTCTGAGATTTGGAAAGTCTCTTTTTTTGGTGCCTATTTTCAAATGTGGCTCAAAATCTGACATCCGCAATTACCATGGAACTGCCATTATTTCTTGCATTTCAAAACTTTTTGAATCTATCATGATCGAAAAAAATATCAACAAGTAAAAAACCAAATAAAAAGTCAACAGCATGGCTTCTTCAAGGGCCGCTCCACTGCTTTTAATCTTCTGGAGTTTGTCTCTTTTACACTGAACGCCATGGATAATGGCAACCACGTAGAAGCTCTTAACACTGACTGAAGAATGTGACAGAATCGACTTACTATTATTACGCTTCAAGCTGCAGAAAGTAGGAATGGAAGCCGGACTTTTGAACTAGCTTCAGTCCTACTTCACAAACCGTAAGCAAATTGTACACTTTCAAAATAAACTTTCAGAACCAATTCTAGTCACCTCTGGGGTCCCCCAGGGAGCTCATTTGTGCCCACTTTTTGTTTGTTTGTGCGTAAACGACTCAAAGTACATGTGTATGCAGTCGACATGAAGCGCTTCATAGAAATAAGAAATGCCTCCAACGCAGAAATATTCCAGAATGAAAAAAAAAATCAATTCTATACCTGGTGTAGCAAAAGTCTACTCCAACTCAACTTAAAAATGTAACGCAATAATATTTAGTATAAAAATTAGAACCCTTTGCATAAACATACATTTAGGAAATGAAATAGCAGACAAATGCAAAATTGTAAGGGACTTTGGCGTAATACTGTACACCAAACTTACATTTGTAGAACATTATAACACTATAATAAGCAAATCAAATAACATGCTGGGCTTCATTAAGAGGTTCAGTTACAATTTTCGAGACCCATATACTATAAAATAACTGTACACTACATACTACATACATCATAAGGTTATTTAAGCAATTCCAATAAACATTATCACAGCATTTGTATTTTTAACTTACTTTCTCTCTCTTCCCAATGTTTCAGATAATGGAAAAACGGAACAACACGTTAGATCGACTGCAAAAACTTGTAAAAAAGACTACATCTGGTTCGAGTGAGAGTAAAGCAGGAGACAAACACGGAGTCACCAAAACGGAGCGCCTCAGAGAACTGACAGAACTTTTGAAAGGAACACGTGCTCCCCCTGTGCCACCTCCCAGAAGACCAAAAGCTTCGCAGAGCCTTGATAAAACCTTCGAACGTCCGAATGTCACAAGTCTCTCCAGTGCTAGTCTTTTGAATATAGATGCTCTACGAGGAGAGGATGGTGGAAGTAATTTGGTGAAATCTAAGGAATCCCGTTCAATTGATTTTCCGTACCAGCTAGTGGAAGGCAATCGAGCATCTACTCCCAGTTCTCCTTTGAGTGAACATAAAGCTATCCTCCGTGCGAATGTAAGCACGTCTAATTTAGAAAGCCTGCAAAGTTGTTCTGCCAAAGAAACCAATAATGCCGTTGAAAATCCCAACGCGTCATTCAAGGAGGATGATGAAATATTTACCAAATTACCCCGACCAGAATCGAGAACGATCGTTGGTTCCTATACTCAAAAAACTATTCCATTCCGAAGCGCATCATTTTCCCAAGTAGACTATTCATCAGGAAAATATATACGATCAGCCTTAGGTGCCATTAAAAACAGCTTGATGCGCGGGAAGGAGAGTTCAGTTATAGACAATGTGACGCTACCAAGAAATAAAAAAGAATTCACTCGAAGCTGCAGTCCGGCTCATATATCGACGACATCTGAACCAGGAGTGTCATTTGACGAAAATTGTGGGTCAAGAGCTACGTTGAAGAAAACAGAAATTAATATCAATCTAATCCCACCGGACAGCTTTGAACGAGTTGAAGGATTCGACGGAAAAGAACATTCGTCGAACAGGAACTCCGATATTGAAACTATCGTTGAAGATCCTGAAGCAGAGCATTCAGAAACCATAGAGAATGAAAATGCCATTCAAAAGAAGGCAGAAATCAACGCGGTACAGGCTTCTGAGATGATACTGGAGCCTTTGGTCGAAGAGGGCATTCCAATCAAACCGCAGTCGCTAGCCAAAGATGAAGAATGTTTGCAACAGGCAACCACCTGTTTGATTCCAGTGCCTGTTTACGATTGTGTTGTTAGTGAGTGGAGTACAGCTCGTCCTTCCGAGCAATGGATTGATGCATCTGTGACAGAAGTTAACAAATTCACAGATTGTCTAGACAGTATTATAGAGACTAGTGAGAGTATAGCAGAACCTACCGAGATCTACCCCCATTCTGCGGAAACAATTATCATTGAAAGTCCTCCAGAAGTTATAGACTCCGAAATATCTAAACTCGAACGAGTTGATGAAACAGAAGAACGGTTTGTAGAGCCCGTACAGGATTGTGCAATCAATTTAACAAACATTGACCATCAAAGCATTATGTGCTCACCACCAGTTTCTATCATTTGTACGGAACCAGATACTGAGTCAACAACCACGATAATTGAAACGCCTCCCACTCCTGATGAGTCTTTGATAAGGTTGGAATCCATCGAAGGAGAGATTGTTGAAGTACGAAAACGCCATAGTAATAATGAAGACAGCGGTGAAGCATTGAGCAATTGTAATAGTGAGATAGAAGAAAAACGGAGGATTGACAAATCTAAGAGAAGAAAAGGAATATACATCCAATGGCCGGCTATCGACACCAATTTGGATCCTGAGTCGGATTCCAATGATAATGGTACGCCAGATGATCATAGCTGGAGGCCAAGCAGGCTTACGATCGAGAAAGACTCCAGTATTGACCTTAGCGGAGATAGTTATACGGATCTTAGCTCTAAGGAAATTACTTCGTCGCCTGAGAAATCCAGAGATTCCAATATACTTCATCGGACAGATCCCTTTCTTTTGGGACCCAACACACCGGATTCAGATATTGTGAGACCGTCATGGCCGAGAGGATCACGTAGGCAAAGCCTAACCTATCAGAGCTCAGATGAAAAAGATGATTCAGCACCGATTTCCTCAATTCCGGTGCGATCATTCAAGAACCTTTTCCTGCGCTCTGACTCAGTTTCAGACAACGAAAGTGAACGTGCCTCGTCCAGAGATCGAACTAGTGCGTCACCTGCTCCAGCAAGCGATCATGATTTGAAACGATATTCCAAAAGACCACTACGAGGTCCCTACGGGCAGATGTTGGAAGCTGAAATGAAGAAACCATCCAAAGTGCATTACAATGAAATATTGGAGGAGCTCGCTAAACACGAAAGGTAGGTAGACATTTTGTAATGTGTTACATAATGAAATCATAATGCTTATTTAAACCTTATATCATCATTACAGCTCACATTCATTTCCGTCGTTCAACAGGATTAGAGGAACCGGTAGTCAGTCAATGGACGAAACAAATGACCGCCATTCTGGTAAGCTTCTTAAGCCTAGAAAGGCTAATGCCAATCTGCCCCTTCCAAGCCACACCAGAACAGCTTCGAGTCCTTCAAAATTGGCAGAACTTGGAGTGGAAAGTCCGCCAAGTGGAAGCTCTAAACGCCACCTTGGCAATATCGAACAGAGGAGCACGGACTCAGATAAATCGGAAAAATCTCCGTGCAAACTAGAAACCAAAAAGTTTTCTCTCGATAGTCATCTTTCCGACAAAACTGCCAATCGAATTGATCATCACGAGAAACACAGCAAACGAAGTTCATCGGGAAACAGTGATAAGCACCAGAAGAGAAGTCTTGATGATACCAGATATTCACAGACAAGCCGCACACCATCCGAGCGCAGTTTTGCTATCAGCACGCCAGACACACCGAAGGGTTTGGTAGCTTCCCCAGAATTACTAGCAGAATTATTGAAAGGGTCAAGTGAAAAACTCGTTACAGAACAGCTCACAGGTGGCGCCAGTCCAAATAGCGCAAGTAATGCGCTTCCTACAGCTGTTCTCAAGTGCCTGGTAAGTTAACGATTATTTTCTCAAAATTACACAATGTATCCTTGAAGCTGGTCGTTGTTTGTTGCGAAAGCAAAAGATCGCTATTACATACCGCGCTCGACATGTGGCAGATTTTCCAAAGTGCAATTAAACCATAATTAATATTTACTGTTTATTTCGATACAAATGGACAGCGAAATCTGTTGACAACAAGTTGAACGGTGGCGCTTCTCTCTCGAAGAAAAAAATGTTTCCGTAATATTTGCTCATCACAATTGCTTCAGAAATGTAGCGAAACAAATCAACTTTCAGGCGACGCGGGAATATTTGAAGTTGGATAAAAAAAAACGTGTCAAAATTGTTTCCCACATGCAATATAAAGGATATATAATTTTGTAGCATTGTAACATGTATTCCAACTATTCACTCAAGTTAATACAATACTTCAATCCCATTCAGAAAAAAAATCAGCAACATTTTTATTTATTTTTGAATTAAGCAAAATGTTGGATTTTATTTGTATTTCAAAACATAATTATACAACTCGAAATTATTATATGCGATTTCGAAAAAAATATTGATTTTTTTTCCAAAATCACCGCGGTGCTCATCATCCGGATCACACCTTCGTCGTCTACTGCTTTGGCAATTCGAATCCACCATGTTTTCGTCAGGCTGGTGTTTTTGAATACTTTACCTTTTTTTTCCTGATTGCCCAAAATTTCTCAATTGGCAGAAGTGTGGACAACTGGGTGGTTTATCGTTTCATTGTTGTTCGAAAAAGTGGAAGTTTTAGCATAAGACTGTTGCGTAGTGATCGAGGTTGAACATTAATGTTCTCTTGTTGCAGAATTGCTTCGCAGTCGATTCTTCCTTGCAGAGTATCGGTGACGGGTAAGGCTTTGAAAACATCTCTTCGGATATGTAAGGGCTCGACATTGATAAATTGGCAGCGATTCTCGTAGCTTGAAAGACGAAGTGGGTATCTCCAAGGCAGCTTACGGAGCGCGAAGTGAAGAAAACGTCGTTGCACAGAGTTAATTAGCTCGGATCCAACATTGTAGTTCGGGCTCCAGACTGCAGAGCAGTATTCCAACGTAGATCGTACGAGAGAGCAATAGAGCGATTTCAAGCAGTAAATGTCTGTGAAGTTCTTAGTAATCTTGAAGAAAAAGCCAAGAGTTCTGGACGCAGGTTGCAAATGTCTTGTTGATTACCAACAGTTTCATCATTAAAAATCATGGAACAGCCGACTTCCCCGACATTTACTAAGTTCCAGAAGGATTTCGAGTGTGATTTTAGCCGCCGTTGAATCCTCCTTTGATAGCGTTGAAAACAGAGATGACTCGTGGTTGAGTCTCACATAGTAGCATTTCAGCGGCAGTGTGCGGAATTTAATAAATCTTCTGAGAGCAGCCTTCTTAGTTCTTTTCAACGAGCGAAGATCTTTCGTCTTCCACGGGACGCGAGAGTCGATATGGATGATCTTTTTGGAAACGTGCCTGTCAATGACATATGCCAAGACGTGAGAAAAGGTTTGTGCAGCAATGTTGACGTGTACAGGATCTAGAATATGCTCCCAATCTAGGTTAGACAGCACATAGACAATACAATACAATGTGGATCAAGTAGGATTCCCCAGGTACTTGTGTACATTTATTTTTCTTCCTGTCCATGTACGACGTTGACACTTTAGTAGGAAGTGCGGTGGGTTTAGCCGGGTTCCCTAGCAGCACACACTCGTCATTTAACAGTTGTGGTTACTTGTATGCACCTTATTTCAGTCACAATCAAGTTGCAGCAACCTATTTTGATGTGTGTTGCTTGGGTTGGTTAATGTCCACAGTTTGGCGGAATTGGGGGCTATTGGGTGGAATTGGGGGCTATTGGGTGAATTAGTGTATTTTTCGATTAAATCCACCCCGTTTTCACAGTACCATTGAAAAACCTCCAGGCTTTAATGACAGCTTGCCAAATCTGGTCAAAACTAAAAAGGTATTGGTGTGCCTTAATAAAATGCGTTTTTTAGGCATTCTTGCCTTCGAATTTATATATTTATCGTTTATAAGTCGGAGTCCATCGACTTATTTGTGATAAAAACCTGAGTTCAGATCAAATTTGTCAGCAAAAATTAAGTTAATCTTGCCAGAGACATCTACTCATGCCGTGGCCAGATATAATTATTGCTCAGGAACCTGCCCAATCAGTATCTTTTCGTAGATTTTGCAGTCCATAAGCAAACATCCTTGGTACTCAATTAGAGCCATGTCATTTAACTATATTGGCGTGCATTGGCCACTAGGCTCTGCTTCAGCGTTCTGTTTGATTCCATGCTGGCACGAAAAGAACGGTAACCTTATCGCAGAAGGATCCTCGTGACGGTACTCATTGGCGTAGCTAATGGGAATGCGTAGGGGGCTAGGCGTCTTCAGAATGTTTTGAAGATTAATATAATTTAAATTGTCAATATTAGAAGCACCAAACATATCTGGAGGGAGCCTGGATCATTCTGGAGTTGGACAGGCACCCGTATTTTCTGACAACATCCCGGTCACAGAGATCTGACATCAACATCGTAAGTTCCACAACGACGATTACTTTGATCCATCTGATCCGCTTTATGCTGGTCACGAAAACCTTTGAAGATGTCATACACCGATGCGGGAAATATAAGATGCTTTCACAGATGCGTATAAAAGATATACAGAGTTTTAAATGTTTCCCTGAATGAACAGATTCACAAGTTTTTCGAGCAAAGATTGCGGATTGAAGCTTGTGAAGATTTCAGGCATACAATATTCATTCTTAAAAAAAAACTTGCCAGTATTTTTCATATGAAACATAAAAGGTACACCGGGGCATGTGAGAATACGGGGTAAGTGAGAAGGGTGGCCTCCCTTAGCTCAGTCGGTAAAGGCGCAGCTACAATGCAAGACTATCCTGGAGGTGGCTGGGATCGATTCCCGGTATGGTCTAGGAATTTTTCGGGTTGAAAAATCTCTCGACGTCCCTGGGCATAGAGTATGATTGTACTTGCCACACGATTGCAAAAATGGTACATGCATCGAAAGCTCTCAATTAATAACTGTGGAAGTCAGGCCCGTAGCCAGCATTTGGTTTCGGGGGGAGCTAATTTTATGACATAAAAACTTCAATGATTTATAAATATAAAACGCATAACTGAACATCGAATCATACACTGTTTTTTTTACCTTAACCAAAATCGTTGTGTGTCATCTTTTTTTTTTTTGTTTATTCGTTTTAATCTTTGATCGGAATTTTTAATGAACCATCAGAATGTAAAACAATAATTTTTAAAACTCTTTAATACGCAGTTATGAGAAAAGTCAAACAAATGTATGAAATTCCAGAAAATATTTGTTGTTTTATTTGTTTTCTGTTGGTAATGATGATCAAGATTTGCATTCTGTTAAGAAAGACAAAAATATGCTTCATATTTTTTTAAACATAATTATTTTAAGATTTTAATGGCATTGAATCGTAAAATCACCGGTACCGGATCCTAATTCATTTAAATTTATGAAGGCGGTAAAAACAAACATCCCTCGATGCAGTGGTAGCAATGTGATCCACACGAAACACGAACAGCGAATATTGTTGCCTTCATCATTCTGTATGTTTTTAAGTTTTTGTTTTAGCATCACTGTATTTTTGTTTTGTTTTTGAATTGATCGTTATTCTTTGATATTTTGTATTGTTCCAGTTAGCTATATAAGTGCAAATATTTAATGCAATTAGATTAAGTTTGAATTTGACTTCCGATCAGGGTGCTGCCTGAAGGAGGTAATAAATAGTGAATGAGAAATGTATTCTTTTACTTCATTTGAATCAGTTGCCGATCTCCAAACTGCTGTCCAAAAATCTGAGCAACAAATTAAACACAACGTAGAGCCATATCCTGGACATTATACCTGGTTATTACAAAAGTAATCTTCTAGCTTTACTCTAAGCAGTTAATTGATATGATAGCCAAGCCCGAAAGTCACTGGTTTCCCATTAGTTTTAATTCGTTTCAGTGTGGAGAAAGATCTTTCCACACTGGCTGTAGTGACCGGGAGTGTCACCAAAATCTTCAACAAAACATTGATTGTTGGAAAATACGTCGAGTTATATTTATCAAGCAGCCCAAATGCCTCAAAATTCTTGTAAATATTTATGGATGTCCGGCACCAGAGCTCGTATTCCACCTTTACCTGCAACCAGCCAGTGATGCAAAATATCATGACACTCACGTGACACTCGTCTTCGCATCAACCGACTATCGCTGACAGATCGTTTTGTCACGCTCTGAGAGTTAGAGCTATGGCAAACAACAATCACCAGTAATGGTCGCTGCTCACAAGCAAAACGTTACACTCGCTGCTGATCATGAAAAGCGCAACGAAAACAGTGAAGAATTCTGCAGTACGATGATGAGAAAAAGCGAAGCGACAGAAGAAAATGAAAACAATGCCTACGCATTCCAAGTTCGTCTCGGCAGGTGCGACTGTGTGAGTTACAAACAAAGAAGGCAACATGAAACGGAAGCTGTTGGGCTCACTCACCAACACACTCAAATAAGCAAGCAAAGCAGCAAATGCTTCAAAACGAGCACAGATGAGTGTCGTGATTATCGGGAATGACCAGATCGGGGATGGATCACAACAGAAAACGACATTCACCAGTTGCTTTTTACTTCTTTCGTCAACTTGATGGATGGTCATAGAGAGAGCTTTGACTAGCACATTGATAAGAATGTACAAAGCGTTACTACCATCAACTGTTTGGCGATCGTGATTGTGATAGGTCGCAACTCTGGCAACCGCGCTGGTGAAATCACAGAGATAACAGTCAAGTTTATCAAGTTGGGATGACTCTCCAATATCTGTAAAAGCAGGCAGCAATATTTGGAACACCGGAAGGATGTCATCATTTTTTGTGAAACGTCCCATCATGTTTTGGATCAATCCATCGAGACATGGAATGAAAACTGCTCTTCGATAGTATTCCTCTGGTGTTTC